CTCATTTTAAATGGAAAGAGCACAGACAAAGCCTTATTTTGTTTATATGAAGAGATTTATTTTATTTGTGTTACTTATTTATTTGATTTGGGGCTTGTTTTTAAATTTCAATGTAGTTTTGTTATTTACATTTGCATTATATTTCATTTTTGTCATTTAGCAGACGCTTTTGTCCAAAGCGACTTACAAATGAGGACAATAGAAGCAATCAAAACCAACAAAAGAGCAATAATATGCAAGTTCTATATTAGTATATTATTATAGTGTTATATTTCAATTTCACAAAGAAATGTGCAGCATTTTGTCCAAGCAATAATAAAAGGACACATTTAATTTATAATTTGTCTTAAATCTCATTTTGTAAAAAATAAAATAAAACCGTGAATCGAATCGAATCGTGAAATCAAAATCGTGAATCGAATCGAATCGTGAGTTGAGTGAATCTTTACATCCCTAATATTTACACATTAAATTCTGCGTAATAAAATACATTAGTAATACCCCTTTTGTGTCTCTCACAATTTACTTTAACTCAAACTTTTAGAAGTTATGTTTTTAAAGAAAGACTGAAAGAGTTGTGAGAAGCTCAGTGGTGGTGATGTTAGTTTATAGCCAACGTTTAGCTTTTGACTTCTGACTATTGTATTTAGGCTTCAGAATCCATAAAGTTGTGTTAAATTGTGAAGATTACCATGATAAACAAAACGTAAAAGAATCTTACATTTTGTTGGTCACAGAGCTTATTTTTTCTGCAATAATCCAAAAGCCAATGAAAAAATCTTATCGGGTTTTTGTCAATGAAACCAGGGTGATGCAAACTTTGGGGTTGGCCTACAAAAATATGTCATCACTGCAATGCTCTATTATTGAATTATATAATTTTACCCACCCTTAATTACTTTACGATAACATGCACTAATAAAGCATGCACAATAACACCAAGGACATATATTAGGACAGTAAACATGGTTATATTTGATTTCATGTCGTTTTGAAGAGCTCTACATGCCTATCAACCTGCCTATGCTGGTGTAAAATAATGGTTTACCAATATGCTAAACACGTATGCATTAGCATGGTGAGTGAGACATACAAGAGCAGTCCATCGGCCGGTCCTCCTGGCAGCACGTCCGACACAATGATGGACGTCTCTCCGGTCTCCACGTTTGGATTGTCCCGGCCCCCGGACACAGCAATTCCAAAGCCCATCTTAGAGTCCTGCAAGAGAAAGAGAGAGAAATCGCTTTCAGTGCGAAAATACCACTAACGCATTTCCTCAGTCATACATTACAGCTAGTCTGCCCAGGGCAGGAGTGTTTAATATCGCTTCATAGAAACGCGCAAATGGCCAGTGGTGTTACACAATCACGTCCATGTGCTTATAAGATTAATCTTTCATAAGCGGTGAGCGTGTGCCACCACAGTGCGGTTTTTTCAGAAAGCTATTGCATGCCAAAGCTAATGGAGACATGGTTCCACCTCAGTGCTTGGCCAAATAACAACCAGCTGTACCTGCCTCAAAGGAACGCTGAATAAATAGAGTCTAATGAGCGGGTATCACAGGTTTGATGCAATCTGCTCCAAATATATTCAGGCTCAATTAAAGCCGGAGATAAAACCTGACAGAACCGAGTGAAACCGAGATTTCGGAGTGTTACAGTGTTGGAGGAATTTATCTAGAGATACACTGGTCAACCGATCCTCAATCAGAACCATTTTTGAGGGCATTTTTGGCTGATCTGTGCTCTGGAAGTGCACCAATGCACACAAAATGCATTGGAATCATTGGCCAAAATGTCATCTGTGTGAAAATATTACAAAGTCTGTAAACAGGACGATAAGATTGAAAGCTGTTAATCACGAAGGAACTACGAAGACATTCGGATTGATAATTTTGATTTGACCCAAAAATAGACTGAGTATTTTAAGTGTTGCTGATTCTAAACACATGGATACCAAGACGCGAACAGGTAGCTGCTTTCCTGTGCTAGCTGAAGTTTGTTCGCTACATACGCTATTGAAAGAAAAGCCATAAATACAGGCAATACTGCCTAATTCTGTGTAGGGCTGAACAATATATTGAATTTAAGTGATAAAATCTAATAATCAATTGTGACGAGTGGGGCGGGGCGAGGCCGGTGGAGTTAATGAGAATGAGCGACACCTGCGCCACTCACCAGTCTCGAGTCCCACGGAGGAGCTCCGGAAGGATAACGGGGAGTAACGACAGTGAAGGACCAGGCCTGGACTTTATGGGGTTGTTTACACCTGGTCACTTCATGCGTTTTGTCTGATCGGATAGCTATCCGATCGTGAAAAGACCAGGTGTAAATGCCCTCCGAAACGGCTATAAATCCGATCGCTCAAACCACTTCAGGAGGTGGTCTGGGTCGCATTCCAGATGAAACTGGACAAGTGTAAACGCATCTGGTTGTTGAAACCACATATGTAAATTTTACTCCTCCAAAAATGTTAAAATAATAAACATGTGAGAGCGTGTTATAGGCTATATGACATTATAGTCAGATATGACTGCGCTAATGCAACACATCACCGCGGACAAGTAGCTGAGTATCTCTTCAGCAAGCCGAATGAAACTGAAAGTAAGACGCATCTTCATTAAAAGTAGTAAGACAAACCTATCTTTCCAGTGCTGATGCCAGGCGCTCTCCTATTGCGGTCTTTGAGCTGATAATTAATAAAATGCAGCGCTTATCTTTTCATTTCGTTGACGTGAACTCCGTTAAATTTAAATATAGCACGGGAATTGAAGATCGGATTTAAATCCGTTTTGCGACGACACATTTATGTGGCCAAGTGTAAATGGAAACGTTTTAACAAATCCGATAGATATCCGATCAGCAAAAACGCATGAAATGACCAGGTGTAAACAGGCCTTATATTGTTTTGGTTCTGTTTGTGCGCGGCAGTCGTCCGTGAGGGGCTGTCGCGCTATTTTCAGTTTTGTGTTTATTTTGTTATTAAATTATGTTTAAATGTTCGCCGGTTCCCGCCTCCTTCTTCCCGTTCTACGAACTTTGTTACATCAATATAAAATTACAGAAAATTAAGATTAATGTGCCAAGGTCGACAACAACAGGAAATTTAACTTCTCCTGCAAAACTAGCCAAGAAGTGCTTATGCATTCCAGCAACTAATTCCCCATACAAAGTGTTTTTAATGTCAGTGGGAACATAATGACATACCGCAGAGAATCTCTTAAACCAGAAACCATTGACAGACTTGTGTTCTTAGGTTGTGAAATACTTGAATAATTTAGATATCGAGACATCAAATTTTAGGTGTATCGCTTAGCCATAGTTGTCATTTTATTTTATCTTAAAACTGAAAATTTTATCATTCGATTCAAAAAACAACTGCTGTAGCATCTTTGTTTTACTTGATTGCATAAGATAATGTTTTAAATTATTTTATTCTAGTTTTATGAAATTGTACAAAGCTAAAGTCAAACCATTCTGTTTTTTATGTTTTTTTTTTTTGCTCTAATTTAAACCACAAAAACTGTTGATGCTATATTGTATTTCTTATTCAGGTACTCTTTCATTTTTTCGTCTATTGCTTAATAAAAAAAATTTGGGAATTGGTTGTCAATCAGAATCGGTTGTGAAAAATCATGATCAGTGCATCCCTAGCTCTATCTGACTTTTTTTCCATGATAAGAGATACCGAAAAGACTGCCAGTGACTCTAAGGGTGGGTGGTAACCAAAAGCTTATATTACATTGAGTAACTGAATCACAGTAACGATATAGATCATGATATGCCATATAAACTTCTAAGTACCCTTTTGTCCCAAATTTTCCAAAGCTTATATCTTTCCTTTTATGTTGCAGAGATAAGATTAGTCTATTCTTATCTGAACCCAAAGATCTGACATGCCAAAGTACTGAGATGTTTTCCCAGGATAAGTCTGATGTAGAGATGTTTGTGATAGCGTCAATGTGTGTTTGGATATCGTGTGTGAACACAAAGATGTACATCCTGTTGTGCTTGACATTGGAGGAAAGAATAGGAGGAAAGAAGCAGAAGATGAGAAGAGAGAGGGGGAGGGGTAACTTTATCTGATGGACGGAAGTACTTGTACAAAGAGAACACAAGCACAAAACATTTTGATGCTCATAAGCTGTTGGTAAAATGACAACTATGTTTCACGAAAACACCTTATTTGGAATATCCACTGTTCATTCATAGATGCATGTGTCCATATGGACATAATATGATGGTAAGAAGACTCATGTTCAGTTATCAAAAACATGAATGAGAAACTTAACTATAGTATAGAATTACTAAAATGAATCGCAATAAATAACGAGCACCTCCAGTATATCCATAAGAGAACAGTAAGATTTTTTTTTTTTTTTTTTTTAAATCAATACTGTTATTCAGCAAGGACAAATTAAATTGATCAAAAGTAACAGTACATTTATATAATGTTACAGAAGATTTCTATTTCAAATAAATGCTGTCATTTTGATCCTGAAAAAAAAATGTATCATGGTTTCCACAAAAATATATATTACACATAATAAAGCAACACGACTGCTTTGCAATACTGATAATAATAGGAAATGTTTCTTGAGCAGCAAATCAGCATATTAGAATGATTTCTGAAGGATCATGTGACACTGAAGACTGGAGTAATGATGCTGAAAATTCAGCTTTACACCACAGAATTAAATTACATTTTAAAACCTATTAAAATATAAAAAAGTCATTTAAAGGGATAGTTCACCCAAAAATTTAAATTGGATGTTTATCTGCTTACCACCAGGGCATCCAAGATGTAGGTGACTTTGTTTCTTCAGTAGAACACGAACGGAGACTCTCACTCCCAATTA